AGGGTCCCATCGCACCCAGGATTTCGCCATTGCCCGGTAGTCAGAGTCACTGGCCCCCTCGGGGTCTGAGGGGGGGGCAGCGGAGCCCCATGGCCGTTCCCTTCCTGTCTTGCAGCGAGGATGACGCGGCCACGGTGTACAGATCAGCAGCCATGCTCAACATGACGGGCTCGGGCTACGTGTGGCTGGTGGGGGAGCGGGAGATCTCGGGCAATGCCCTGCGCTACGCCCCGGACGGTAGGCACCCCCCGAGCGCCGTGCCAGGCTCGGAGGAGCCCGGGGAGCCGGGAGGAGCGGCCCCTGCCCTCCCCCGACCCCTGGGGCTGGGGGAAGGCGGTGCGCGGGGGTCCCGAACCGAGGGTCCCGAACCGAGGGGGGACCCAGCCTTGGCCACCTCGGGGCTGCCGCGCCCCAGATCCTGTCACTGCGGCTTTGCGAGCTGCCTGTCACCCAGGCAGGGCCCTGGGGATGGAGCTGGGCGTGTCCGGTGCCAGCGCGGCCCCGCTGCCCCTGCCTGCTCCCGCCGGGAGCTCAGGCACCTTCCCGCCGCGTCCGGGGGATGCTCAGCCCGCAGCCGTGTGCTCGCTGGCCGCGGAGGGAGGCTGGAGCAGGCAGCGATGCCAGGAGCGCTGACCCGCGTCCCCTCTGCCGCGGCAGGAGTGATCGGCTTGCAGCTCATCAACGGCAAGAACGAGTCAGCCCACATCAGTGACGCTGTCGCCGTGGTGGCCCAGGCCGTGCACGACTTGTTTGAGAAGGAGAATATCACGGACCCACCGCGGGGCTGCGTGGGCAACACCAACATCTGGAAGACGGGACCCCTTTTTAAGAGGTATTGGGGAAAGGGTCCTGCTGGAGGGAGCAGAGGACCTGGTGGGGGAGAGCTGGAAAAGGTGGGAGCACGTGGAAAAGGTGCAGGAGGACACGGTGGCTTTGTTCAGGGCCACTCTAAAGCTTTGGGGCATGTGGCACAGGACTGCCTGCACTCTCCTGCATGATTTGGATGTGAGGTCTGTATCTCTCCTAGAAAACTCTCCCAGACACAGACTCAGGCAATGGTACCCAGTTTTTCCAGGCTCTTTAGGCATCATCCTGGTGCCTGGCACCAATTCAGTCCATGTCAACCCATGCTACCATGGGCAATGCTTAGACAGCTGGGATGTGTGGGCAGGGAATGAAGGAGAAGACCATGGTCTCCTCCAGTGTGGAGCTTAGTTCCATGGGTGGAAGTGGGAGAGATGGGGATCCTGCCCAGTCAAGGTAGGGGGATATTTCTGTCCCATTTTATCTCAGTGCTGCTGACCCATTTCCTGCTGAACATTCCAAGGCTGTGGCATGGGTCCAGTGCTGCACGCAGGGCTTGGTGGCAAGAGCTGTCCATGCATGGGACAGGCTGCCCTTGGCTGTAGCAAACCCTGGTGCTATGGATTTGGAGGCTGGAGTGTCACAGAGGGGAGCATGTGCCTGTGGGGTGCTGCTGCCAGGGCAGGGGGGTCAGCAGGTCCTGCATGCGCTTCCAGACCCCAATCTGCAGGTGCTGGGGCCACAGGGGCTGGGCCTTGGTGCAGCAGCCACTCCCTGCAGACCTGGGCTCTGTTGAGCATGAGACCTGCAAAGCCTGGAGATCGTTTCAGAGGCGTTTCTGGCATCCCCTGCAGTGGCAGTCTTTGGCATGAGTGAGTGAAAGCTGTTCTTCACAAGTGGCTCAAGCAATCCTTGTGTGTCTCTGCTATCACCTTTCCAGGGTTTGAGGACTGGTTCTCTCCTTGGTGGTGTTTGTGTGTGCCTGGGCCACTAGCCAGGCTGGGATGGGCAGATGCCAGGCACAGCATCAAAGCTGTAGCAATGGGCACACCTCCCAAGGAACCCCCAGAGGAAAGAGTCCTTGGATGCTGTGGGATGGATCATTCCACAGGGGAGTGGGACTGATCTGGTGGAGAACAATGACAGCAGATATGATAGAGAACATTTGGGAAACTGATTCCATCCACCTGGAGGGGATGACCACAGGTCTGTGAACGGAGCATAGGTAGCTTTGGCTGGACTTGTACAGGGTAGTGAGCTTATGGCAGGTAACTGAGAGGAAGCATTTGCCTTTCTCATGCCTCGTGAGGTATCTCATATGCCCAGAGCACAGCAGGTGCTCTAGGTTGTGCCAGCTGTGTTTCTCTCCACAGGGTGTTGATGTCCTCCAAGTATTCCGAAGGTGTCACCGGCCGAGTGGAGTTCAACGAGGACGGGGACAGGAAGTTTGCCAACTACAGCATCATGAACCTGCAGAATCGGAAACTGGTCCAGGTTGGGATTTACAACGGCAGCAATGTACGTGCGGGCCTGGACTGGGCAGGGAGGGCTTGGGCACTGGAGTGTCCACCTTGAGCTCACGTCCATCTGCTTCCCCCGCGATCCATCTCAGGTCCTGACCAACGACAGGAAGATCATCTGGCCAGGCGGGGAAACGGAGAAACCTCAAGGCTATCAGATGTCAACCAAGTTGAAGGTAAAAGCAAATGGCATTAGGGGCAGAGCTTCTCAGCTTTCTGTGTGCTGGGCAGTGACTTCATCTGCCTCCCACCTCCATGGCTGCTCTGCAGCTGGCAGCAGCATTGGCAAGGCTGGGAGAGGATATGGGAGAGAAATAGAGAAGGTACTAGAGTGTGTTCAGAGCACAGCTTTCAGCTGGAGTCAATCTAGATAGGGTGGCAGGGATCCTTGGGTTTGGAAAGAGACAGGTGGGAAGTGGATATGAGAGAAAACAGCACAGAAAGGGTGGAGGGACAAGGTGCTCACCATGTCTCATGGGAGCCAGAGGACATCTGTCACAGATTTGTGAGAAATACAAGGATGGGCTCCTTTGGCTGAGGCACGGTTCAGCTCTGTTAGACAGTGCAGAGACCAGGTGGAAACAAATTCAAAAGGAGATTAAACCACTTAGTGAGGGTGGGTGGATTGGTGGCTGCAAGGCTGAACTCAGGAAATCCCTGAGCAGCTGAAGGCCAGAAGCTGGAGGTAACACTGGCAGAAGGTCCCTTCAGGCTTTCTTTGCTTCTCGTGTTCTTCCTCTAAGTGTCACTTAGCAGCTCCTTTAGTGACTGGACCCTGGCCAGGCTGATCTTTCCAGTATGACCATTCACGTGTTGCACTGTTCATTTGTCCAGCAAGGGAAATCCCCTTCCCACTGGCAGTGTTGTCCCACAGAGGTGCTATGGGTATGTTCGTTGTGATTGCTGCTTTACTGAAAGGCCCAGGGCAGGACTGAAACACCTGCATTAACTTGGGGCAGTGTCTAGAGCCCTTTCCAGGCACTAGTCCTGACTGTGTTGTGTCTCCCATCAGTCTTCTGTTAGAGAAACAGATTTTGAGGCTCAGCTGAAAGTGCCACATGAAGGAGGACACTCCTCACTTTGGGTGCAGGGAAAGCAAATCTTCTTGGTGCTCATCTTGGCAATGCTGTGTTCACAGTTGGATTTCATGATCTTAAAGGTCTTTTCCAGCCTAGAGGATTCTCTGATTCCACATGCCAAAGCCAGGTCCTGCTGCTGGGCTGAGATGGCAGCTGGGGAGGGCACCACGGCTCACGTGGGGAGGGCAGCCCAGCTCCCAGCACGGGAATGTAGCTCTGGAGGGAAGCAGACCAGAGGGTGTTTGTGTTTGACCTCACAGATTGTGACCATCCACCAAGAGCCCTTTGTGTATGTGAAGCCCACTCAGGCAGATGGGACGTGCAGGGAGGAATTCACCATCAATGGAGATCCTGTCAAAAAGGTCTTCTGCACTGGACCCAACGAGACCATCCCAGGTAACTCAGTCTGGTGGGGGCTGCCAGTCCAAGAAGTGGCCCCAGGGAGGTGCTCAGTCACACAGGAGGCACAGAGTGGTGACAGCACAGCTGGCCCCCAGACACCCCCCCATCACTCAGCCTCACAGCAGTGCTGTGCAGGAGTTGGGCCCTGGGATCCAGGGGTTTGAGCCCAACAGACTTTTTCCCACTGTCTCTCTTCTGGATGGGTGCCAGGGCTGCTTTGAGGGATTGCATCCTGAATTTCTGTCTCCTGACATGTTCCAATTCTCTCTGCCTTGATCTCCAGTAGCAGCAAGGACCCTGAGGCACATTAGCACATGCTGCACTGACAGCATCAGTTTCAAATTGTCACAGAAACTGTGTCAGGATCAGGAGCACCTGGTGTGGTCTGGGAGCTACTCAGCAATGCCAGGCTTGCCCAAATACACCTGAAGGGCATCCCCTTGGCTCATCACACCTTCCTGTGCACAACATCCCCCCAGAGTTGTGTCTTGAGCTGTGTTCAGCCTGCTGGGCTCATGTCAGGACTCCCCCAGCACATGGACTGAGCCCTCTCCTTGCTCTGCAGTGGGTGGTAGCACTCCCTCTCAGCCCACCTCACTGGGACATGGCAAAGGAATGGGACCCCTTTGTCCCCAGCCTGCCCACACCCACAGTGCTGGAGGCAGGTGAGAGGGTGGCCAGGCAGATGGCCCTGGAGGATAACGTGGTTACATCCCACATGGAGCCAGAGCCATGGGGTGGCTGCTCTCACTGGGGACAGGCACAGATCCTGTGTGGGGTCCCTGGCTGGGGCTGCCCCCTCACCCAGTTCTGTCTCTCCCCCAGGCCGTCCCACCGTGGCACTGTGCTGCTATGGCTTCTGCATCGACCTGCTCATCCGCCTGGCAGGCGTGATGAACTTCACCTATGAGGTTCACCTGGTGGCTGATGGTAAATTTGGTACCCAAGAGCGGGTGAGTTTGGGCAGCCTGTGATCTTTCTTTGCCTGTATTGTGTGTTGAAACACCCCCAGGCCCTTCTCCTGAGCAGGGTGGGGTGGAAGGGCAATTCAGGATTCCTAAAAAGTGCAGGGTCCTGCCTGGTGGGGGATGTGTGTCAGGGCAGGCTCTGACCCGGCCTTGGCTTCCCGGCAGGTGAACAACAGCAACAAGAAGGAGTGGAACGGGATGATGGGGGAGCTGCTGAGTGGCCAAGCTGACATGATTGTGGCTCCCCTCACCATCAACAACGAGCGGGCTCAGTACATTGAGTTCTCCAAGCCCTTCAAGTACCAGGGCCTCACCATCCTCGTGAAGAAGGTATGGTCTGGCTGGGAGGCTTTGCAGAACACGGGAGGTGCCCGTTCCCCAGACTGCAGTGCCCAGTGCAGCCCCTGCAGATTCCAGGCTCCAGGCTGCTGGTTTTAATGCAGGCTCTTGTCTGCACCAACCTGCCCCTCCCTGGGCAGCAGGAGCTTGGGGCAGGGCAGGGCCCCTGTGGGTCCCTCCAGGCAGGCAGGGTGCAGGTGTGGGGGGTGCCAGCACTGTTCCCCTCTCTCCTGTGTGCAGGAAATCCCCCGCAGCACCCTGGACTCGTTCATGCAGCCCTTCCAGAGCACGCTCTGGCTGCTGGTGGGGCTGTCTGTGCACGTGGTGGCAGTGATGTTGTACCTCCTAGACCGATTCAGGTGAGTGCACTTTGGGCCACTTGAGATCTGGAGGGGACAGGGAACTGCCTGGGAACTGTCCCCTGGGCCCCTTGCTTGGGCGTGTCTTGCAGCCCTCTGGGGGCTCTCACGGGGACTTAACCCACCTGCTCTGCCCCACCAGCCCTGGGCTGAGCCTCCTGGCCCCTCTGGCTGCCTAAGCTAAGGGATGTGGATATGTGGGGCACCCAGCACGTGGGGATGTGGGAACACACCTATCAGACCAGGTGATATACAGACACCTGACCAATGGGACTGTCAGATTCTGGGCTCTCAGAGAATTTCCTCTCAGCCTTCCTTGGCCCTGTGGCAGCTCCTCTGAGGGCACCTGTCCCTGCCTCAGCCCTGTGCCCAGAGGCTTTGGTGGCTAATCTGCAGGGAATCCTCTGTGCTGCAGTGGGAGAGGCTTGGGCTGGCCAGGTCAGATGATCTTTCTGGTCTGGAGAGATGTGACAGGACCAGCACCAGTGTGAGCCAGACAGGGCTGCAGGTCAGCACAGGGGATGTGCCAGGCAGTGGGACACAACAGGGAAGAGCTGCCTGGGAGCAGGCACAGTCTGTAGGAATGAGAGACACAGGGCTGCACCAGGACACAGAGGGCACAGAGGGGAGCCCTGGGAATCAGGGTGAGGGGAATGAGAAGGGTTCTTCATCTTGTTTTCCAGCCCATTTGGCCGGTTCAAAGTAAACAGTGAGGAGGAGGAAGAAGATGCCCTGACTCTCTCCTCAGCCATGTGGTTCTCCTGGGGAGTCCTGCTGAACTCTGGCATTGGAGAAGGTGAGTCACAGCTCACAGCAGGACTGCTGTGCCCTGCAGCCCAGGTCTGAGCTGGGCAGGCTGGAGGGAAGCCCCTGCCCTCTTTCACAGCCTCCCCCTCTCACATGGTCCCTGTGGGACCTCATTCCCTGAGCCCTCCCTGGAGCAGGCTGATGGGGGATTTGGTGATGCTGATGTTGCACGTTTGTGGCAGCTGTCAGGGCTTCCTGCTAGTCCCAGCACTGGATGGGAAACAGGGCAGGGAAACTTGGGCTGGGTTACCCACCCTCTCAGGGTGGCACACAGTGTGCCCTGGAAGGAGCTGGAGGGTTTTTTTGTTCAGGCAGTGCAGAGGCTCCTTGCACAGCTGCTGGCAGAACAGATGGATGGTGCACATTGGCACCTGCCATTGGGCTCGTGTGGATTGACACAGCTTTGGCAACCAAGCCAAGCCCTCGTGGTGCCACGGATCTCTCCTCTCTCCCTGCAGGTGCTCCCCGGAGTTTCTCTGCCCGTATCCTTGGCATGGTGTGGGCTGGCTTTGCTATGATCATTGTGGCTTCATACACTGCCAACCTGGCAGCTTTCCTGGTGTTAGACCGACCTGAGGAGAGGATCACGGGCATTAACGACCCCCGGGTAACGACCCCTTGCTTTCCCCTTCCCTGGGGCGTATTACATGGCTTGTGGTTCCCAGAACCCTGACTCACCATGGCTGTGAGCTGTGCTGGGGGGTCCAGACCCAGGGATCTCTGCCTGGGCTGGTGCTGATGAGTCTGAGCCCTTGCCTGGGGTGGGAATGGACAGACGTGGGCAGGGATCAGCAGGAAAACAGCCTGTCCAGAAATAGCCTGTCTGCACTTTCAAACTGCCTGACAGTTCCTGGAGAGCCTCCTCTACCCAACGAGGAAACGATTCATTATGGATGAGTTATAACTAATGAAATCGTCCCTGTGGTGCAGTCAATGCTCTCCACATGCCTCAAATCCATTTCCTGCTCTGGCAAGGGCACGGCCGCAGCTCATCAGCCCAGGCATGCAGGAATGTGCCCTGCAGCAGCACGGGCCCACAGCACCCCCTGCCCTGCTGTGCCCTGCCCACGGCACTGCCAGACCCACGGTATGCACAGACCTCCTGCACCCAGTGCCACCTCTCCCTGTCCCATAGCATCCCCTGCCCATGGTCCCAGAGCATTCACTGCCCATCCTCTGAGGAGATCAAGGTCTTCTCTAGGGAACACGTCCCTGAAGGAGCTGGGAGGTTAGGGAACAGCTTTGGGGTGAGGAAGTTTTGCTGGTGAAGGACAGAAAACATTGGAGCCCCGCCCTTGCCTTTCAGCTGCGCAACCCCTCGGATAAGTTCATCTACGCCACGGTGAAGCAGAGCTCCGTGGACATCTACTTCCGACGGCAGGTGGAGCTGAGCACCATGTACAGGCACATGGAGAAGCACAACTACGAGAGCGCTGCCGAAGCCATCCAGGCAGTGAGGGACAAGTGAGTAGGGCCAGACCTTGCCTGGCCACGCTGGGACGGGCCTCGGGAAGCTGCAGCTGGGTGGAGCAAGCAGGGCAAAGCTGGAGGGAGCTGTGGCCAAAGCACGACCCAATGGGACCTCCCAGCTGGGGCTGGTGGGATCTGCCCAGTCCTGGTGCACCCCAGGTTCTGCGTGGGGGTGGCACGGTGAGAGCCCTGGCCATGGCCTCCCTTTCTGGCCTCTTTTGCTCTTTCAAGGCTGGGTGCATCAGTGTTTAAATTAGGGCTGGGAGCATCCACGGAGGCTGCAGACAAGTTGGGCTGCCCAGCCTGACCCGTCCACCCTCCCTCTGTGTCCAGCAAGCTCCACGCCTTCATCTGGGACTCGGCGGTGCTGGAGTTCGAGGCCTCCCAGAAGTGTGACCTGGTGACGACGGGGGAGCTCTTCTTCCGCTCCGGCTTCGGGATCGGGATGCGCAAGGACAGCCCCTGGAAGCAGAACGTCTCCCTGGCCATCCTCAAGTCTGTACACGGCTCTTGGTGTGGGGCTTGCCTCAAATGCTGCTCGTGCCAGGCACTGCCAGCTACCCTGCAGCCCTCTGCAGGGACAGGGCGCTGGGGGCTGCCTGTCCATCCTGACAGAGGGACGCTGAGTGGCTGGGCTGGCACCCACAGCCTCAGCTCCGGCTGGCAGGGCTGGGGAAGCAGCAGGGAGCTGGAGGGAGGGCAGGGAGCAGTCATGGCCAGCCAGGGGTGTAGCAAAGCTGGCAGAGAGCAGCAGGGCCACCCAGCACAGGTCTGTGTCAGCAGGGTGTGGGTGCTGCCGTCGCCCCGCTCCTCCCTCAGGGCTCAGCCTGTCCAGCAGCATTGCCCTGCCCTGGCTTGGTCATGCAGGGCTTTTTTCTTTCAACTCTGGCTACTCCTGTTGCACAGGGATATGTCAGGGCCCACTCTGAGTCCAAGGCTTTTACATCAGCACTAGCCTGCAGTGTGGGGTGTCACAAGTCAGCCTGATATTATGGGTGAAAAGGGATTTCCTTGTATTACTTTGGAAATGCCACACTCATTGCAGGAAAATGTCATGATGGAGAAACGGGCAGCTGGGAAGCAGCTAGTGAAGGGAGGGAGCCCTGGGAGGTTCATTTTAGGACAGGGTCAGGAGCCACCAGGGTCCTGCCCAAGATGCAGAGGTGAAAGGCCTGAGAGAATGGTCAGGATGTGGAAGATGGGCAAGATCTAGGGTGATGTAGGGAGCCATGAACCCTGTCTGTGGGATGGTCTTAACATGGTGATGGGTGGCAGCAGGACAGATGGGATCTGGGACCACCACATGAGAAGCCTGAAGAGGCCACAGGAGTCCTTGGTGTCCTCCTGGGAGAGGATGGGGAAGCCCAGGGCTACAGATGGCCCAGGAAGGTGTGGGGCTGTACCAGGAACAAGAGGGGGGAAAGTGCAGGGAGCCTGTGGTGGGATGTGTGCTCTGTGCCCACTGCATCCCCATGAGCTGTTCAGACAGGTACTGTGAGGACACAGCTTGTGTCCTCCCGAGCTGTGACACCGAGCTGTGACACCGAGCTGTGACACTGAGCCAGCCCTCACTGTGCACTGCAGGGAGCTGCCAGGCAGCACTGCCCTGGCCTAGAGGGTGCTGGGTGTCACCAGAAAGGACTGGGGTCTGCCATTGCCTGGGCTCCAAGTGTTCCTGGCAGGGAGAGGAACTGTGCAGGAGGGACCTGTAGGTGTGGTTCATGTTCACTCCCTGCAGCTTTCTCCACGAGCTCTTGGAGCGCTGCCAGCTCCATCCTTCGGTGGGAACACACCTTCCCCATGGCTGCCCCGTGGCTTTTGGCAGCAGGCACTGCCCCAGAGCTGCTGCAGGGGCAGTGGCAGTGGTGGGTGCCTGCTCACAGCACTGCCCTGTGCTGTGTGTGCCCACGCAGTGCTGGCAGCCCCTGCAGCGCCCACACCCGCTCTGTGCAAAGGCACAGGTGTGCACACACAGCCAGCACGTCCCTGCTTCCTGTGCTGGGAGGCTGCAGGCAAGTGCAGAGCCCTAGGATGGAGGGCACGAAGGCACAAAGAGCTCCCTGTGGCTGGTCCCCAGTGACTACCCTGTCCTGTCTCCTTGTGCTTCCAGGTCCCACGAGAATGGCTTCATGGAGGATTTGGACAAGACTTGGGTGAGGTATCAAGAGTGTGATTCCCGTAGCAATGCCCCAGCAACACTCACCTTTGAAAATATGGCAGGTTTGTTCTGCAAACCTCTTTCTCCCCCTTTGCTGGGTAGCCTGCTTTTGCTCAAGACATTTTCCTCCCCGGGGCTGTCATCTCAGGCCAAATCTCTGCTGCTTCTGGGTTTGTGCTTTCCTAGTGCTGGGAGGCTGCTGAGGTGGGCTCCATTCCCACTGTGCTCAGAACAGTTCCACAAAGCTTCTCCCTCCTTCCCTGGGTGCCCTTCTTGCCGGTGGGGCTGCTGTGGTGTGAGCATGGCTCCCCTCCCTCTGCCCTGGCCAAACTGTGGCTGTCACAGTGCAGTCAGAGCTGGCACCAATGCAGAGAGGAGAACAGCACCTCAGGAGAGGAGAATGAGAACCCTGCTGCAGGAGGGGGCTGGAGACGAGGGGCAGCCCCCCAGTCCTGAGGAGCCCTGGGCAGGGCCAGAACAAGGATAATTGAGAGAGAGGGGTTTCATCTTGCAAAGATTGTGAGAACCCTGAGACAGGCTCTCCCTTTGCGCTGAGGTGGTGCAGCTGGTCCTGCAGCCAGACAATGCAGTGATGAGGGATGAGGGGTGTGGGATGGGACCCTGTCCTCACCAGCACTGCTGGCCAGTTACAGGCAATGGAGAAAGGGGCTGTTTTGCTCCATCTCCTGAGACACCACTCCAGAAATGTCATCCCCGAGGGCTGCAGGCAGCAAGGACGGCACAGAGCTGTGTGTGTGGCTGTGCTTCCTGATGAGCCAAACAGGAGCACCAGGGCTGCGTTCTGGCACAAATGGCCCCACGGTCCTGGGGATGGGGTCTGCTCTGGGGCTTGCTGTGCCTGTCCCCTGCATCGCTGCAGCTCAGTGCCCTGTGCCCCCCCAGAGCTGGCACTGACACCCCTCAGGTGCCCAGGCTGTGTTCCAGGACTGCAGGGAGATGGTGGGGGGATCCTGGGTTGGCAGCTGCATCGTGCCTTGCTGAGCACGATGCAGAAGAAATGAGGGGTCATGTTGCAATTCCACTGCCCCCTGTAACTTTCCTGCTTATTTCAGGTGTGTTTATGCTGGTGGCTGGAGGTATTGTTGCCGGGATATTTTTAATATTCATAGAGATAGCTTACAAAAGGCATAAGGACGCGCGGAGGAAGCAGATGCAGCTGGCGTTTGCGGCCGTTAATGTGTGGAGGAAAAACCTGCAGGTAGGACAAACCGTTTTTAGAGCAAATCTCCACCAGGTGCGTTCTCCATTCCTTCACCAAATCAGTGAATGCAGAGCTGTGGATTGCCATGGGGCCCTCTGTCCCCCACCCACCCCCTGTAGCCCCAGCTGGGTTAACACGGTGCCTGTTAAGCTGTAGGGTAGCGTCCCTGCCTTCTCCCCGGGAGCTGCCCCTGCCTGATGCTGTCTCTCCCAGCAAAGCTCCAACAGGGCAGAGGCCTGGCCCAAACATCCCCAGTGGAGCTTGGGATGGGGACTTTGCTCTGCTGGGGACTACGTGCCAGAGCCACACCTTGGCCCGGCTGAGCAGGCAGTGCCATGGCTCCTTGCAGGTTCTGCCCTGCTGCCCGGCTCCAGCCGTGCTCACCAGCAGATGGGAGGGTCAGGCTGCTGCCACTGACCATCCCTGCCCGCTGCTCAGGTGGAGGAATGCTCCAGGGATAGTTTCCATCACCTCCCCTTCCCTGCCTGCTCTGCAGCACCGTGGTAGCCCTTGCCATACCCAGGACCAACTCCAAAAAGAGGTGGTGCGTGCTCTTGTCCTTTGGAGACGAGGACATCTCCCCACACAGGAGCCAGCAGTGCCGGTCCCTGTCAGTGCCAAGCCTCCCTTGGTCTCCTTTTATGGGGCTGTTGCTCTCCCAGGCTTCTCCTGCTCCTGGAACTTCTCTGTGCCACTCAGGCAGGGAAGCCCAGGAGGGTCAGAGGTGCCTGACAGTGACACTGAGCCATGGTCACATCTGTGGGCCACCAGCCTCACGCTTCCCTTCCCCTGCTGCTTTTGGGGCTGAGTCCCACAGTGCCCCTGACCCCAGTGTAGGGCAGCTGGAGGCTCTGTCTGAGTGGGCCGGGCTGGTTTTTCCCCTGGGGAAGCGCAGCGGCGTTCAAAGGGCAAGAGCTCCTTTAGGTGGCTAAAGGACACTGCTGCTCGGAGCAGAGCCAGCAAGGCAAAGAGAGAGGAGGAGGCTCGGGGACCCCGCGAGGAGCCCGGCCGGGGCCCTGGGGAGCAGCGCTGGCTGGGGCTGCGGGGGGGCTGCCCCAGAGCAGCGAGGGGAGCACGAGGCCAGGCTGCTGCATCCTGAGAGCTCGCTGGGTTCAGTTCACCGGAAAGAGTCTCGGAAAAGCCATTTCTCAATTTTTTTTCTCCTTTTTTTCCTTTTTTTTCCTTTGCTTCCAAAAAGCAGCAGCACCGAGGGGGTTAAGGCTGCTGGGACAGAGCACACTAGTCGCACTGCCATTTTTCACTTGCCAACCTTCTAGAAAATACTGCACTGGGTCCTTGGGCAGAGTCTGTGGGACTGTGAGCAAAGCATGCTGCCCTGTGGGGGTAAACAGCCTCATGGTAAAGAGCCGTTTGACATTGTAAGACTTTTCCACAGGAGGAAACGTCAGAGCACTAGTATCTGGTACATTGCTAGAAGGTAGGCAAGTGGAAAGATTTATTTGTTAAAACAAACAAACAAAAATAATGGTTTTTGGGATCACAGTTTTGCCATGGCTATTTCCTGAGATGCCATGGAAGAAAAAGACATTTCATTCCATTCATCTTGCTTTCCTTTCCGTTTGTGCATGTCCGCAAAAGAGAGAACTGAGAAGGAGGAGCAAATGTATCCCCGAGCATGCTCTACGCACCAGCGGGATACATTTTGGTTACCCCCGTGCGGTAGCAGAGCCAGACCTGGTCACTCCGTCCCCCGTCGGAAAGGTCACACTCATTGGCACGAAAGCAATTGGGGAGGACTCGTTGCCAGCGCCCAGCGCCGAGCGCGGCCGGGCCCCCCGGCCCGCGGCCCCCGCACCATGGCGGCTGGTGCTCCCAGCCTGCGCCAACCAGGTCCGACTCGCTAACTCCAACGCCTACATTTTTCAGTTCTGTTTCTCTTTGAGTTCATCCCGACCCGACGACATCATGGCACTAACGCTTTGCTTCCTCCCTTTCTTTTCCTTTGTATTTTTTTTTTTTTAATTTTCTTTTTCTTCCAGTTTCCTTTTTGTTTTTTAGCCTGTTTTACTTTGGAAAACAAACCAAACCACCACCAACAACCACGTTCGGCTTTGCACAACTGCATCATTTGAATTTTTGAACACATTTTTTTTACAGAATATTCATACAATGACTTCTCTTTCAATGCAGTCCTCTCTCTCTCTTGTGGCACTAGGATTCAGCCTCAGAAAAGGCCCTGAGCACTTTTTTTTTTTTAGTGGTAGGTGCAGCATCTCACGTCTCGGTCCAGCCAGGCTAGCGGTGGAAGCGAGGGGCAGGGCGCCAGGCAGACCATCCCCAGGAAGCGAGGTCAGCTGTGCCAGCCTGGCTGCAGACACCAGGAGAGCAGGGCTACTTCCCAGAGGGGTTCCCACGCTCCAGATGCGAGGCCGGCCCCCCGTAGCTGTAGCAGTGTGGTGGCTGTGCCCTGGGTCACGGAGGCCCTCGGAGGACTGGGAGTGGCAGAACACCTCCAGTAGCTTTCTCACCTAAATGAAGGCCATGACACGGGGCAGTATTCGAATAGATTTAGAGTTTCCAACAACACACTAGAGATCTAATTACTTATACATATTCATTTTAGGATAGAAAAAGTGGTAGAGCAGAACCTGACCCTAAAAAGAAAGCCACTTTTAGGTCCATCACCTCCACCCTGGCCTCCAGCTTCAAGAGACGTAGGTCCTCCAAGGATACGGTAAGAGGAAGAAGAACAATTCTGCCCTCTCTCTTTCTCTCTCTTTCTCTCTTCTGCCATCCCATCGACTGCCACACACCCATCCCGAAGCTGCCAGTGTACATGCATAGCTCATGTTCGTCACCAGTCAGTCAGTCAGTCAGTGAGTCAGTCATCCCGTGTACCTGAAAGGATGCTGGGATCCTGGAGGGCAGGCAGGAGGTGGCTTGGAGTCCTGTGATGAGTTGGGAGATGCAACCGAGTTTTTGTTTTGTTTTTTTGTTTCCTTTTTGCCTGGATGATTTCTGATGTTCCTCTCTGTGCTTCGCTCACCTTACCGGTGCTGACCTCTTGAAACTGATGACATTTTTTCTTTTTTTTTTTCTTTTTTTCTGTTCCTAAGTGTTCCTGTACCTGTTTGTCATTGTATGCCTAAAAACAATCACCCCGATTTAATTTGGGCACCGTGTCACCTCACCAAGAGCCATGCGTGTCACACTCTCTACATGTGATTTTTGTTTGTGACAATTAGCATTCGGAATAGTCCTCGCACAGGAGTGACAGCTGTCTCTGGTTATCATCAGCAGTAAAGCAGCTCTAGAAAAGAGACAAAAAGGCTCCAAAGAGGAGGTTGTTAAAGACCCAGCCTTGGTTCAAACTCGTGTTTTCCGCTGCTCTCACATAACCAGAGAAAATTTCCAAATTGCTGCCTCTAAAGCCAGCTGTTTCCAAATGTGCAAATGTGTCTGCTCGTGCTGGAGCTTCAGACACTTCAGCGTCAGGTTGGGCTGTTGGTCTGTCGGACTGAGCCGTGTCCCTCTGCATGTCGCCGTCTGTTGTATGACACTCTGCACTGTGGCTACTCTGTTGTCTCGTGTGGCAGCGCCCGCTGCGTTTTGCTGCCCGACCTCCTGGCGCGACGGGCTTGCCAAAACCCCCTCCCCGGGGCGACCGGCGGGTTTGTGCCCGGCGTTGCTCGGAGCAGGTCCCCAAGGCTGCCCGAGGCGCAGCGGGGACGGGGGGACGGTGGCAGCGCGGGGAGCTGTGGCCCCCGTGGCGGGGTGGCCCGTCCCCAGCCACAGGCCTGGGCGCCTCGGGGACAGCATGTGGTATCGCAGGGGGTCTCGGGCCACGGCTCTGTGTGAGAAATGGAGGAGGCTGCCTTTGACACCAGCGCAGGCTCCATACCAAGAAGCTCCTGGAGCACCCCTGGAACACGGCCCTGGGGACAGCTGAGCCCTCGGCCGGGCTCGACTGCCACCATCTCACACAAATGCTCCTCTCACTGTCACCTTGAAGCCTGGAAGTCATGGGGAAACACCCACACTCTTCCCACTCATCACCTGTACCCCCCAGGGAAGATGGGCATCCCCGTCATCTCCTGTGCTGCTTCTGTGCTCCCTGGGTGGCACCTTGTCCCACTGATGCCCCCATGTCTGGGGTCCCCTCTCCCCACTGCTGCAACCCTGAGCAGCTCTGCAGGGAGGTCACAGGTTGTGACTTTGTGGCCTGAGCCATGACCAGGGCAGAGGAGACAGAGATGGGGTGGGTGGTGCAGGGGGTGGTGCAAGAGTGAGGAGGAGGAGGAGGGACAAGTAGAATACAGAGAAAATGGAGGGGAGAAAAACTGGCAGAAAGATCTGCATGAGCTGAGTAGACCCCCATGTTCTATTGTGTTTGAACTTTTCCACGATTAGGAAACCAAGGGGTCCTGTCCTGAGAGAGCAGCATCGTGATGGTGCCCTGGGCACCTGGGGGAATCAGTGCCACCGGTGAGCAGAGGAGAGGGGAAGAACCCAGGAAAAATGGGGCAGCTGGTGTGTGGCACCCCTGGTAACTCCCAGATTGCTCCTTCCTCAGGGAATCATTCTGGTCCTGATCCTTCTCCGTGGTGTGGCATCCATCCTACTCCAACCCCCACAGCCCACAGCCCTCTCTGCCCCATGTCCGGGGCACCTCAATGCCCTGACCAGGCCCAGGGCCCACCTGCACCACAGGTCCCACGGATGGGCAATGGAGCTGTTGTTTCCCCTTCCCTGGTGTCCAGCACAACACAGGGCTCCCCATGTTTGGGTCCCAGTCATGCTCTTCCTGGTACGTTGTTCATGGGCAAGTTGTGGAGGGAGATGACCCCACTCATCCCAGAAGGTGGTCCCCACTTTGGGGGCAGCTGCATGGTTGATTATTCCCCACTGCTCTGAAGCCTGTCACAATGCTCTGCCTGCCTCAGGGTGCCATGGCCAGGGTCCCAGGACACGTTCCCCAGGGAACTGGGCTAGCTGGGGCAAGAACAGGCCGATGGGGTGAACATCCAAGCCAACATTGCCAACTTGGAGGTTAGCAGCTATGGCAGGAGGTCCGTGGTGGAGCGAGCTTTGTGGTGATGTTGGGCAGACCTGCTGGTTGCTCTGCAGGGTGAGCAGCCAGCGGGAGCGTGGTGCTGCCACCAGCTCATGTCACAGCCTGTGCTTGGTGACCTCCTCTTCCATGCAGCAGCCCTGGCTCAGAGACCCCGACGCCCTCCTGCTGGAAGGCCCCATGAGTCCGTAGCATGCTGGGGCACGTTGCCTGGGGTCCTTGTAAAGACGAGAAAGCAGCGAGGTGCTCTCATCCATGATGCTCAGCAGAGCTGCGGGCCCACACCGGGTCTTAGGTGGCAAGGCTGGAGAGCCCTTGGGGCTGGAAGGCCAGGCTGACCCCAGCCCCACGGGCTCTCCTGGCTAGCGAGCGAAAGACACAGACCTGGCGGCCTTGCTTCTTTCCTTTCCGTTGTCGGGAGTTTTAAAAATGGATTCTGCTCTGCAGCCCTGCAGAATGGTCCCTCAGGAGTGCCAGAGAGACAGGCTGGCACCATGGAGCCAAGACAGCCCTGGGAAGCTTCCACCCCACTCTGAACGTCCTAGCGCCCACCATCACCCGAGCTGCACAGCCTCTCCGCGGCACATCATCCCCACCGCCCCAGGAGGAGATGCATGTGTTCCCCATAGGCAGCTCCTGCAACTCGAGTAGCACTGGCAGAGCTGACGTGTCCATCCATCGCAGCCACCCACGATACTGCAACCCCACAGACGCCATGTGAGACGCATAAACCACACAGACACCTCCGAGCCGGCACATTGCGTACAGACACGTGTGAGGTGCACAGGCCCCTTAGCCCCCCGCACCGCCAGCCCCGCAGAGCCACCCTGCCACCCCAGCCCCGGTGACACCCAGGGCACCGCCCGCCAGGGCCGGCCCGGCCGCGCTCACCCGCGGCCCTGGGCATGGTGCCAGGGCTGGCTGACAACCGAGGGGCTTCCTGGAAAAGGTCACCTTCTCAGTGAAGGATCAGCAGTCCCAAAGCCAAACGCTCCTTGGCTGAGAAAGAGCCTAGTTTTTGGCCCAAAAGAACCAAAAGTAGGTCAAAGATGACTTTTCTTTTTTTTTTTTTTTTTTTTTTTTTTTTTTTTTCCCTAAAGGGAAGTTGATATTTTCTACAGCAAGATTGCATTTAGCTGGAATCCTAATTTTTAATGGAAAAAAAAAAAACACAACAACAAACCAAAATTCTTCCAGAAAATCTTCCACCAGCCAGGCACTACCATATGAGCCCAGTTAGGCTGAAGTCATTTTTAAAGACATTAAGTTCTTGTCTATATTTTCTTCCTGGTTGTCATTTAAAGTTTTTGGTGCCTTCACTTCACTTCCATACCTTAACATGTTTGAGTCTCTTCTACGGTTAATATTGATTAATTTCTTGGCTTTATAATGTTTGGTTTGGGGATTATTGCACCATCCCTGTAACATAATTTACCTTAAATTACTGATATGTGCTTCTAGCATTAGTTCTACTTTAACATAGTTTTGATATGACCGTTTTCTTGCTTTTTTTCTTTTCTTTTTTTCTTTTCATTTTAATTTTTATTATTAAAAATTGCATGCATGAACTTTACACAAAAAAAAAAAAAAAGTAAATGAGAATGTTACCCTGTGATAACTCTGTGATTGGAGGAGATATGCTTTCAAATCAAAAGCCATGCTCTTGTATTTTAATTTTTCTGGCCAGATTGCCCATTTTGCTTGGTTGTTTTAGTGTTTCCCACCCCCAGAGCTGTGCAGAGAGGCCAGAAGGCCCCAGCCTGCCCTGCTACACCACCACAGCAGCCACATGCACACGTGCACTGAGGCACACACACTCACACAGGCACACTCCGCTTCTTCCATCCCCCTTACATCAGGCAGGATGTTCAACAAAGGACCTTTCTCCTACCCATTCATTTTTGTATCTCCAGTTCCTCCTTCTCCTCCACCAGTCACACCCTCTTCCCTTTCCCAGTCACCTCTCCTCCCTGCGGGAGTCAAGCCCCATCCCACGAGCACACACCTCTGGCAGCTTTGCCATGGAAACACTGCATTTAGCTGGAATCCAAATTTTTCACGAGGAGTGGGTGGCTGCACCCGATTTTGGGAGAGAAGGGTGTTTTTTTGGTGGGCTGCTGAATAGCCACGAGAAGCTCCCCCCAGGGCAGCAGAGTAACATCAGGATGGCCTCAGCCACTCTCTCTGTATGGGCAATGGCCGAGTTGTTGCCCCTTAGCAAGGCAAGGCCGTGGCCAGGAATTGCCAGAGGCTCCATTGGAATCTTAGCCAGTGCCCTGAGGTGCAGGGTGCTCCCTGAGAGGTGGCAGGGAGATCCC